TGGTGTCCGGGATTTCTTCGGGTCGGCCAGCACCATCAAGGTTGAAGCGCTTCATGTTACCGTCGAAACTCAATAGCTTGTCCTTCTGCTGCACCCAACGCGACAAGTTGCTCTTTGGGATACCTGTCTCTGCTTCTAGGCCACGAGTGCTGGCTTCGAGCATCTTTGCAACCATTTGGCGCTTCATCGCATGCGTGTAGCGCCTTCTTGGCTTCTTCTGAGGGCTGATCTTGTTGCGACGAACTGGTGCCATCGTGGAATGGCATGCATACATGTTTTGAAAGCCATCAACGCGCGAATTTAAAATGTTTTCCCGCAAACCAATCTTGTAGCCAATCATTGATTAGTATTTTCATAAAATTACTTGATTGGTTATAAAGAATAATGTGTTTCCAAAACTTCGGTGTCCCTTAAAATCCCTCGTCGTCTGTAATTATACCTGCAATAATATGTATTTTTCCAAGAACAATAATATTTAAGAGGCTAGGTGAAGTCGCTTGGTATTGGACTGTGCACGGAGATGGGATGGGAGCTCCAACTATACCCATTTCTGGATAGAGTCTGTAGTTGACTCGAAATACTGTTTCAATGAGGGAATGCGACCAATTGATACGTTCAATATAATGACGGCGACAGTCTTTGACATCATCGACAACATGGTTGCAACCCAACATTCCACTCCGAACCGCGACAAGCTTCAATGGGGACCGCACGTACCATTGGATGTGTACACAAAGGTTGCACAAAGCAAGTATGTTCGACTATCCGTGAACAACTTCAATGACACCATCGCAAGAATTTGGGACAACGCAGGCAAAACACGCCTTGGACAAGCTGCATTTGTTTTGCAGCTTTTCGTTTACACCGGTACCTGATTATAGATGAACGTTTGAACTTGTTGGTATACTGCTTGATTGATTGATTATTTTATGTGGATAGAAAACGTGTAGCTGGGCATGTTCGCCAGCATGGCGTGAGCCTTGGATCATTACAAAGTCAATACGCAAGTTTTTGCACGGCCCGACCAGACACCCGCTGTCTACGTGAAAAACGCAGTGCGACAAAGGCCTTCGTGTTCCGCTTCGACCAGGCGTACTTCCGCAAGGCATCACGGCCGTCTTTTGATGTCTCGTCGACAAACACCAACTGGTCGGGGTTGGAATACAAAGGGCGAAGTCGACGGTAGTAGTCATGCAGCTCAAAAACTGCCGCTTCGCGAGCTCGCTTTTCAAGCACTATGAAGTAAACGTCGTAACAATTACGAATACAGTATTTCATTTATATGTCACCTTTGCGAGTCAAGCCCAAATCGTGCATCAATGCGCGACAAATGGTAGCTTTGTAGACATTTGCAAGCGTGGGGAATTCCAACTTCAGCGCGTCTTGGAGCTCTTCGATGTAGAAGCACGGAGACGTGCTGTGTACAGTAGGATCCATTCGTTCACTTGAACGGACCAACGGTTCTTCTTCCTTGACTTGCGCATTGCATCGACGGTCCCCGTCTTCATGAACTGCGTATTGAACCGTGTGACGGACCGATGGGAGAGGCCAAGTAAGACCACAACAGTGTTTACGTCAATTGAATACACCTGGACAAGGACAGCACACCGCCATCGCATGTCTAAGCTGGTCATCGCTGTTAAACACCGCGCTGCCGAAGTATGATCGGCAAACACCCCTGTTAACCAAACCTTGCTCGGAAAACCAGCCAAAATTCCTTTGGCGACCAATCAATTTGAAGCAAACCCATACGATCCATAAAATCACCACTGATTAATGCATGGAATTACTAAAAAGAGTGGTATGGTTGGTGCTTCGTTTTACTAAATACAATTCCCTCATTAACTGTTAATGAGGGAATTGTACTCTGTAGTTCGAATCGCCAAAACGAGATACAACAGTACTTACCATTTCCATATGCTCACGACGACATCCAATTGGCTATTTTGCCCCCGACCTGATTGGCTAAAAGGGTCCACACTCATACATGTGTGATGGAATTGTCAATATTTGTGGTTGGTATAGTGATTAATGCGGATCAATTTCGTTGCAGTATCGGTTGTTTGGAGTGTATCCCAAGATGCCTACCGTCGGCGCGATATTTGACCCGCATATTTAAGATTTGAAACTTCAAATTTGAACTTTTGGAGTCAACTTGACGGAGTCATTTTCAAACATGCCTCGCTTGTCACGTCGAAAGCCAAAGGAATACAAGTATTCCAGGTACACCTACGAGCAGAAGCTCGTAGTACTGCAATACCGTGACACTCACACTGCAGCCGAAACGATAAGGCCAGAATTAGGCGAGTCAAGGCCACATTAGGGATAGATTTGTTTAAACTCAACGTACCTTCGCACGACTCCCACAATACTATATTCCTCCCATACTAAATGTGAATGTTGTTTCTGATACAACCAGAATTTGACCAGTTGCGCCGGTGTACCACTCCAACATTGAATCGAAAGGTACGGTAGTTGCTCAGATAGTCATAGAATCATACTACAGTATGATATACTACGTAGTAATGGCCCTTGGATATGATGTAATATCTGCTCTAATGACTGCTTACTTCAATGCTGATTTGTGATGTGTCATTTTGCGAGAAATCCCACATACACAGATCAAGATAACAGTGTATACTAATTCTCCATATTCAAAATTGGTGAGGGCCACACTACAGTCACCGAGGGAGTGGTTCGCCTATCGAACTTGCTCAACGTGCAACTATTATTTTATCCAATAATATCGTACCAAAAGTTTAACGACTTGTGATTGGATAATGAAAATATTTTCCCACCGGCGCGAGTTAATTTAAATATGTGCCACACTTTTCATTCACGAATTGATGAGCTCCTTGTCAACCCTTCGGACTAAAAAGCGCGGCTACGCTATATCAGTCAAACTCGATGCACTTGCTATGATGGCAAGTATGTCGGACTACAAGGTATCCGAAAACCTTGGCATACCCCGGCGCACCATACGTTCTTGGTTTGACCAGCGCGATGAAATCACCGCCTTCCAAGGGAACAAGAAGCGAATGAAAGTCAGCCCTGGTGGGCGCCGCGAGATGTTCCCTGACCCCGAGGGATTGGTCGACTTTATCGTCGAAATGCGAGTTCGTGAACGAGCATTGACAACAACTCACATTATCAACTGGATTAAGCGCTACCAGAGTCAGTGGCTTCGGCTCTATCTTATTGACAAGCAAGCTGGCACTGGCTACCAAAGCCTGCTCCGTCTCCTTCAGCAGTTCTGCCGCCGCTATGGTTACAGTCGTCAACGCGCCGGCCACCGCAAGAAGTCGCACGCTGCACTATCTGACGTCCGCGACGAGTTTGCCGGGGAGTTCCATCGCTTGTACAGCGCCTTCCACGATGACAGCGTCTACAACGTCGATGAAACTGGATTCTATTACGACATGCCTCCCAAGTACATCTGGTCGATCCGCGGAGGTGATGCCAAGGTGTCCTCTGGGGAAAAGCACTCCCTCCGGATGACTGTGGCCCTTACCGTGC